TTCTTCCTCTTAGGATTCCAAATCTTGTCATATACCTTCTGGTAATTCCAACATTGACGTCTCTTTAGCCTGTCCCTTAAATGGTAATGTTTTCTTGAGATTACACTTTAATCCTCTGATTTTCTCACTTTACTTGTTTCCCATGAATGATCTCATTTGCTCTCACAGATACAATTACCATTCCTATAATTAAGTCTAAAATATCATTAACTCAAATTACTCCTGGATTTCCGGTCTTGTTAATTATTTACATCTCTCTTCCCAAGAAGGAAATCTAGAAGTTACCTTAGATCGCTCCCTCTTCCTCAACCACTCAGTCATCCCATAAATCTAGTCATATTTAACTCTGTCACTCCCTGGACCAGGTTCTTATCTCTGGCCTGGACTGTTATCATTAACTGATCTCCCTGTTATTGTTATAATTCTTCAATTTATTATACATGGGTTATTTCTTTTTATAAAAATCACACCCGACTTCAAAATACTGTCAGTTCCCCATTATTTAAAATGCAAACGTGGCTTAAAAATTCTTGTGCAATCTAGTCCTAGCCTCTTTATCCATTCTTATTTCCCAAACGTCTATCTTAAAATCCTATACATCAGACACTCTGACTTTACTTTTCATGACACAAACCTGTCACCATAACTTTGCTGATGCTTTTCCCCAACCTGGTATTTCTTTTCCCTTTCCATACAATCAAACACTCAAACTTCAAAATCTTATTTAAACACCACCTCCTCTGTTAAGCTTCTCCTACCTCCCCAGATGCACTCACTGATGTGTGTGATGAACTGTCGTTAATTTGCAGACTGTTTCCTACCAGACTGTGAACTTCTTGAGTTCTGTCTTATTCGGCTCTGTCTCATTCGCCCAATGCGTACCATTGTCCCTCACTCACAGCAGAACCTCATTAAGTATTTATTGGCTCCCAAGAGCACAAGGCTTCGTGAAAGGTTGGGTTATACAAATAGTATAAACAATTAACACCAGACTTCCAGATTAATGGGGATTGGCGCTTTACTCCAAGAAGAGAACTGTCCCAGTTCAGCATCTGACAGAGATCACGTGCCACCTCCATTCCTCTGAGGAGCCGCTTCTCAGAGAGAAACTGAACGGAGCCAGCAAGGTCTCTGACGCTGCTCCAAATGGTAGTAGGTGATATAGTGGAAAGACCAATTCTGAACGACTTGAAGGTAGAGCTATCTTGAAGGTGCAAATCCAGAAGAGTGGGGACAGCAAATGTCTTCCCGGTTAGACCCACCAAAAGGTAGATTCAAAAGACCTTTCAAAAAGATCTTTCAAGCCCCACCGCGCAACCGCTTCCTTGTCTATAGCCAACAGGCAGGACTCAACCCTGCTGCCCCGCCCCCTCTTTCTCCACACCCTCCCTCTATTTTCTCCCACGGAACCCCTACACAATTGTGAGCGTCTTACCACCAGGACTTCTAGTCCATAGATCCTCTCATCCACCGACACCCCCACCACTCTATGACCCCTGACCCCCTCCTCCAGCCGGCTCTTACTGTCCAGGTAATGTTCCAAATACATCCCCGCAGCCATCTTGAAGCAAAACAAAGCAACTTCCGATCCACCTCGGAAGTGACTGAAACGCGATAAGCGCTGAAGTGAGCCTGAGGTTAAAACTCTTCCGCCCTTAAGAAGAGAACTTCCGTTCTTATTATGGACTCCGCCGGAACACATCCGCGTGAGGCTGGACCTTTTTTCTGTTGCGTGGATAGCCACCACCTCCTGTAATGAAGCGGCTTTGGCCTACTTCCGCCCTTACTGAGACCCCAGTAATCGACGGCGGCAGGTGTGACGTCACTGGAGGTCGCCATTTTGAATTCTCTACCAAACTTTTTCCCTCCAAAACGGGAATATACGGTAATGGGAGAAGCTTGCTCTCTTTAGGATTGTATATCACAAAAATCCCTTTTCAGTATATGGGGATCTAACTTGGTTTCCCCTTTTGCAGAATTTGACTGCAGAGGACTTCTTTTAGGGAGGTAAATTTCCTAAGGAAATCGGAGAAAAGTATCTGGAATGCAAGAATTAAACCCTCCGTATTTCTCCTTAGACGAACACCATCTCTCCAGGATTAATTTTTAACATAAGAAAAGTCTTATTTATAAACCCTCTACAGGAGACCTAGTGTGACGCAGTGGAATGATGTACTGAACCACAAGGTCGGCTTGAACTGCAAATTTCATGGTTCAAGCTCACTAGCCGCTCCTGGGAAACCTTATACAGGATGGCTATGAGTGAGGGCTCATCCGCACTTAACAATATATATACAAAGTAAAATTACACAATAAAGCTTTAATTCTCCACCCCTCTGGCCCAGGGTTCTATTCCGTTACATTCGGAATACATTTTCACATTTAAAATGTTATACTACTTCTGACTTTGTCCTAGTCTCTGTGAGGGAAATATCACGTATTTTCTTTCCTTACTCTGTGGAGGAAAATATAATCTCATTCAAACGACTATAATATTGTTGCTGTTACGTGCTGTCCAATAGATTGCGACTCACAGTGACTCTGTAAAGGATGTCCTAGGATCAGCTGGTGGATTTGAACCCCAGATCTTCGGGTTCAAACCGACTTCTCAGTCCAGTGTTTTGTTCTACAGTGCCACATCATGTTAATTAGCATAGATTCCAAAGCAATGGGTCTATGGAACTCCATCGAAGCTGGCTAGGTCAGTTAGATGTCAACCATTATTCTGCTGAGTATAATGAAAGCTCTGTACCTTCATCAGGAGCTCTGGTAGCACAGTGGTTATGAATCGGGGTGCGAATCTTAAGGTCAGCAGTTCGAAACTACCAGCTGATCCATGGGAGAAAGATGAGGCTTTCTGCTCCCGTAAAGATATACAGCCTTGGAAACCCTGTATAGGGTCGCTATGGTTGGAACCGATGGCACTTAAAAACCTTCATCAGAATAGAAAGCAATCAAGTACTTAACAGGCACTACCACACTGGTAGCGTAGTGGTTACAAATTGGGCTGTGAACCGCAAGGTCAACAGTTCAAAACTACCAGCGGTTCCACGGGAGAAAGATGAGGTTTTCTGCTCCCATAAAGATTTACAGCTTCGGAAACCCTGTGCAGGGTCACTATGAGTCGGAAATGGAGCTCAAATTCCTAACTCAATATTAGTGTTCGTATGATGCATCTTGGAGATAGCTATACCCCCTAACCTATACTTCTTTGACAATAATTGTCAATGACAGCTAGGTTTTAATAAAACAGATTTTCAGTCGTGTTAGTTTAGATAAGGCCAAGTATGTGAAGGGTAAGGGTGAACCTTAGGTTTTGTTAAGTGCCATGGAGTTGGTTCCGACCCATAGAGACCCTGTATAGGGTTTCCAAGGAGCATCTGGTGAGCTTGAACCGACTTCGTGGTTCAAACGACTTTGCAGTCCATTGCATTATCCCACAGCACCACACCAGGACTCCACTCTCTTTAAAGTGGTTTTCAACTATGGTAGAGTTAGTCTCTGAAACCCTACGCAGATGCTCCTAATGAATTCCATGGCACATTCCTACCCAGCCCCCAATAGCTCTCACTCTCTGTTATCCCCTTGGGTAATTTAACCTATGCTCATTTTGTTCATAAAATGAGAATAGTACCTACCTCATAGGCTTGCCACACTGATGTGCATGTATACTTAAGAAAAAGTATATTAAGTGTTGTCGAGTCACTTCCAACTCACAGCGACCCTGCAAAGAGTTTGAACCACCAACCTTGTGGCTCAGACCTTGTGCTCCAGTGCTTGTCTTACAGCACCACACCAGGACTCCAAAATAAAAGTCTGTGTACTTCCTGTGGTTGTAATACTGCTGCTGAAGGCGGGGGCTATCAGGCCCTTTCAACAGTTGGTGAGAGTAGGGAGTAAATATTTACAAAGCTAACAAACATTGGGACATTTGGTCATATCACATATTGTAACATTGTCCTAATATATCCAGCCCTATATTAAGTGGGTATTATTTTAACTACCCACATTCCACTACATAATGAGCATCATTTGCCAGCAGTCCCAGAGGATACTTGCCAGCTCTCAGATATGGGAACTCTGTCACCTTTTCAGTGCTTGTCAAGTGTCACAGTCTGTTCTGATTCACAGCAACCCTATATAGGGTTCCCAAGGAACAATTGCTGAGTTTGAACTGCAAACCTTGTGATTCAAACCTACCTCAAGGCCCAGTGTTTTATCCCACAGTGGCACACCAGGACTCCTTTTCAGTGCTTAATGTTTTTTAATTCTAAGAATCTTGGAGGCGATTTAGTTCAACAGCTTGAGTTAGTGGATATTAGAACCAGAGCCGAAGTCCAGGTTTCCTGACATATTTTCTCCCCAGCACTGTAACTGTTTGGCATAGTCATTCAACTCTTGCACCCATTAATTGGTGGCTCCTACCACTAGGAACCTCGTTTCAGGTGTCAGAGTAACAAATATTATATACGCACACATTAAGACCTACTGGAATTAGCATGAAACTCTTCAATTTCGTTGATAAGGAGCCTTAGGGTTTTTTGTTTTTTAAGTAAGTGCAACCTTGCCCTCATATTTTGGCAATGTAGTCTCCATGACAATACTTTTATGTAGGTTGGTTGGTGGTTATGTGCCATCGGGTCATTTCCTGCTCATAGCAACTTTGTAGGTGTCCGAAGCCATAAATCTATAAAGGAGCAAAAAGCCTCATCTTTTTCCTGTAGAGCACCTGGTGGATTCAAACTGCTGATCTTGCAGTTAGCAGTTCAATGTGTAACTCGCTATGGCATCAAAGTAAAGAAACCCTCATAAATTAGGATTTCAATTAATTATCAAAGCTGTACCCTTTTATGGCTTGGGAATTACAGACATGGGGCCCCTTTACACAAGCATTCGTTCTCACATACGTACTTTGGTGTAAATCCTTAGTACTGTCCTTGAACACTTCCCCAAACAACTTTTCCCCACGCTCTCACATCAGTAGCTCCACTGCCTCTGAGCCTTTTACACAAATTTATTTCTATACAATATTCTAAAAACACCCCTTGTTTTGTACATTTTTTTTTCTTCATTTTAAATTGCTTTGTAACAACTGGTTTCCTGATTTTTTTTTTCTCTGAAATCTGCCATGATTTAAAAAAAAGGAAATAAGAATGCTATGGCCAGAGGGACAGGGTGGAAAAGAAAATCAAGACAAAAATAAAATAAAAATAAACATCAAATATGAAAATTCTCAGAGATAATGCATTTATAAACACAGAAATGGTTACAACAAAGATGACTGTGATGAGTGGGTATATATATATTTATATATATATATATATATATATTTATATATAAATCCGTGTCCGGTAACTGACCGTGGCACCTAGGAAGTTAAGTCCAGTCCTTGGGTTTGCCCTGAACTCTCCCTTCTCTGTAACATCCCCATTCTTTTGGGGTTTCATAGAGAACACAAAGCTCCCAAAGCTCTTTGAGGTTTAGAATAGGGAGACTGAGGGCACAGAGCCTTGGTTGACAGAGAAGGGGGAGAACAGCTCCAAGGAAAACCATAACCCACACTTCTAAGCCACCCTTTACCAACCTTGGGAATCTCTGGCCCCTTGGGGACCACATCTCAGCCCTTACCCTCTTATAAATAAAGGGAGGTCTGATTCCCACCCAGAGCTGCTTCCTCCAGCATTAGGTAGGAAATGAAGTGAGAGACCATTTAGGGGAATAAATGGCCCCCAGGGTTAGGGGATTTGAAAAACCGCTGTTCTTTTGCAGGCAAGAACAGAACAGGAGGCTGGTTGCATTTAGCGCTCTCTTCTCTGATATCTGGAAGGGCCAATCTTCTATCAGCCCAAACTTTTGAGGATGAGGATTAAAGAGAGGGTAAGTGCCTACAAGTTTCTATGAGGTCATAGCAAATCCCTCCCTTGAGCACCAACCCCCAATTTTCAAAAGCTATGCTTGGGAGGGGAGGCTGCTGGATTACACTACCAGCTCAGTATTCTTTTGCCAATCAGGAGGGCTGATGTTCCTTTTGAAGATAAGGATGGCATCCTGTGATGAAAGGCCGTGCTTGAGGCCTAAGGAGATGGAGCCAAGGCCGGTCAAGGTAGAGGACTTTTCCCACCAAGAGATGTTGGAGAAAAAAGGGACCAGACTTCCTTTCCCTCTTCCTAGTGGGTGGTAGCACAGGTCTCTAAGAGCTGGCCAGGTGCTCCACCTGGATGGTGCTGGTGGTGACAGTGAGGCAGATGTCCTTATGATGTTCCGCCGTCTTATAGGGGGTCAGGTCAAAGGAACACTGAGGTGGAGGGTTGGGGTTGCTGTCCCCACCACCCCCACCTTGGGGGGCTGCCCCAGGAGACTGGAAGTGTGGTGGTTGTGGCTGCTGCTGCTGTTGCTGTTGCTGCTGCTGCTGCTGCTGCTGCTGTGATGCCTGGGAGGCCTGGGCCTGGGCCTGAGCCTGGGCCTGGGCCTGGGCCTGGGCCTG